TGGTCTTGCAAGTGTATGGCAAGAAGATTTAGGATAGGAACACATACTATCTGGTTCCAGCTGCCTTTCTGTTCCCCCCACTTCAGAGAGTACCTCTCTGCCTATTCCTCTTCTCTCCCTTCAGCTTCAGACCCTGTATCTGCTTGCAGACCAGACAGCTCCAATCTGAGCTCACATTTTCAACAAATAATTATTGGGAACTTGCGGTGTGCCTATGGGGAACAAACATGGGAGGTTCTAGAAGACATTCCTTTTTGTTTGTTTGTTTGTGTGTTTTATAGTTTCAGAGGTAGAATTTAGTTGCATTGGGTGTTATATGCATCATTTGCATATAACACCCAATGCTCATTCCTAGTGCCCTCCCTAATGCCCATCACCTAATTACCCTTCTCCCCACCCACCTCCACTGAAGCAACCCTCAGGTCCATCCCTATATTTAAGAGTTTCTTATAGTTTAGCTTCCTCTCTGTTTTCACCTTACTTTATTTTGTCTCCCCATCCCCTATTTTCATCAGTTTTGTTTCTTAAGTTCCCAATATGAGTGAAATCATATGGTATTTCTCTTTCTTTGACTAAGTTCAATTAGCATAATACCCTCTAGTTCCACCCACATCATTGCAAATGGCTAGATATCATTTTTTCTTCGTGCCTCTGTATCATTCCATTGTGTATATATAACAAATCTTCATTACCGAGACATCAAAAAGATCTGTTTTTACACCCTGCTGCTTATAATACTTTGCGGTAGCTTCCTTATTCAGACTCCCTTATCTCCACTGTATCGTCAACTAGCTGACAGCAGATTCAAGTCTCCACAATGCCTCCCTTCCAAACGGTGCTCCCTTATCTCCTTGTTGACTTGCAGCATTTGTATTCTTAGATCTCTGATTGATTTCGTGGGTCCTCAGAATGATTTGATAAGTATGTAGTTGTATTTGAGGAATGAGACAAACTTAACTCTTCCCCTCTGTACTTTCTGATTGGATGCTGGGCATGAAGACTGCGAACCTGGTGACTGGCTGAATTTTGTTGCCCAAATTCTATTAGAGCTGAATGTCGTTTTGTGAAGTAGGTGATGATTTGTGACACAGTTTCATCCTTTCCAAGTTTATGTTCATTGTAAGAAGATGTACCCAACATATATCTACCAATTTCAACAATTATATATAAGCTTTGATGGATGACTTGAGAATAGCATTTGCTAGAGTGCCATGTTGTCCAACTACCCCTCAAGTGTGACCTTTCATTGGGTCTAATGGCCCATGCCTTCATTAATATCGGTGTCAGTGTTTCAGTGAATGTTGATTCTGTGTGTTACATTTAG